CATTCCTGCCCTCCCATCACTGACATGGGAAGAGGTCTGACACAAGCTATTGCCACGTGCAGGACAAAGATGGCAGCAGGAGACCAGACCTTCTCCTCCCACACTGGAAGCATTGCAGAAGATGAAAAGGTTCACCAGACTAAGGGCTAACAGTGTCTCCAGATCACATTTTTTGGCAGCAAGTAGCACTAACAGAAGTGGCTCTTGGGCAATGCAAGCAGCCAATAACATGTGATTTAAGGGAAAAAAATGGCAAAAAAAGCAGAATAAGGAGGATTGTGTGTGATAAGCCTAGTATGTGCTCTCACCCAGCAGCATCTGGAGAGGATTTTCTCCAGCAGGCAGGGAAGAACTCGATTACATCCAGTTAACTGTGCTCTAAACTGATTATGCATGTGCCAGGCTAATGGATTACATTAGCAAGAGGAAAAATAACATCCAATCAATCTCAATTTACTGCAGACCACACCAAGGCCTGAGAGAAGAGAAACCATTCTGTGAACTACCCCCACTCCTGCTGCATCTTTTCAGCTATCAAAAGAGACACAGCATTACAGCCAGGCTGGAGACTGGAAGAACTACTCTGAAGCTTGCTGGATCCACAGGCAGGCTTTCCATGAAGTCAAACACTGATTCCAGCTATGCTGCAGCAACTGTGAATCCAGCGGTCCACCATCCCCTGCTACAGACTCTACATAGGCAAACAAGGAAGCAAATACATGGAGCACATAACAGATTCCACTACTCTGAAATGTGTTATTCCCTGTCTGGTGTTTCGCTGTTTTCCCATCAAAAGTGACTCAAAGATATAACAGCTCTGAGAACTGCCCTGGCTTCTTACAAACCTGAACACTGACAATTCCCCCTCATCTGTCTGAGAAAAACACTGCAGAAATCTTCATTAGAAGCATCTATGGCTGTCCCCCAGTCTGACTTAGGTGGGGCTTTTTTCCTTTTTTTTCCTCCCCATCACTCCGTTCCCACTCAATGAGAGAACTCTAGCATCCCACCTGCATCTTTCCCACCAAAAACCACTGCAAATGAAGGGTCTTTGGCTATTTATCAGAACTGTATTTTGTGTTAAAACTCATAATAGAGCTTTCAAACAACTCTTTTTTACGCCAAAACAAATTCCACAGACAGAGGAGATTAAATTCCTCAGCTGCTTTTAAAAATTTCACTGGGACTCTCCTGCCCACAATTTCCAAGCTGGTTTAACTCTCTCAGTTCTCCTGCACACCTGAGAGGAGGTGTATGTAGCAATCTGACCATTTTAGTGCCAGACTCTGCTGTGTGAGGCCGGATCCCAGCTGGTGATGGTGACCACCATCCTCCCAGCAGTGAGGCCTCAACAGCAAGCTCCAGCTAAAACAGATTCCTCCTCTGATCAGTTCCCCATCAACTGCAAGCAGCCCCAACAACCACAGATCAAGGCAAACCCTCCATGATGCTCCTGGTTGTCTCCTTCCTCTCTGAACTGCCCATTCCTAGGGAAAGCACAGGAGTTTTGAAACCTAATGTGTCTGCACCATGACATGGGCTAATTTATGTGGGAACAGTTCAATGTCAAGTTTCAAATTCTCATTACATAAGGAAAAATATTCAAAGAAATATTTAAGAAGCACGAAATACACTCCCTGTATATACATATAGTTATATATAAAGAGCTCACCACATCTGGGAGGAAAGCAGGAAAAAAAGGATGGGGATAGAAAGAATATAAAAAAAGCTGAAAGCAATGAGAAGACAATGAGTGGGACAGTACGTGTGAAAGGATGGAATGTGGCTTGTTAGATTTATGGCAATTTGTACCTGATTGTTCATACTAAAGCCATCATGGGATGATTAGAGAAAAAGGTGAAGCTTTAAGTCCAGTGAAAATCAATAGCAATGTCTGGAGCAATTCTGCTGCACGAGTGAAAGGACTATTTACTGTATCCGGAGCTCCTCTTGGGTTACAGCCCACAGGGCTCAGGCCAGCCAGGGAGGGGGTTGTGAAGGGGAGAGGAAGTCAGGAAAGAGAAGATGGTTATAAAGAAGACATAAAATGGGGCAGGGAAGAGTAAAGAAAACAAGATGGCAGTCCTAGGCCAAATACTGCTGTGGATGGAAACCTGCAGTGCCTCCAACCACAGCCTGTCCAAACACACATAGAGAGGCTTCTCTTCCAGCCTGTTCCCTCCCCCAGCCCCCAGCAGCACTGCTGACTAGAGTGCAAATGCACTGAGACGGCGGCCCTCTCCATCCCCCTCCACCCACCCACCCAGCCTCCTCAGTGCCAGGATCAACACGCCTCTCTGGCAACAGCCACAGCCTTCTCGTGCTGACAAGAATCTTGTATGAGGTAACAAACAGCCTTGCGGGAAGAGACAACACGAGTGTGGCAAATACCACCTCGTACCATGGCTTCAACAGCGATGCTGAATTTTTGTGCAAGTCTCATTTAACACACATGCAGTGCTGTAAGACATGCATGCCCCCACTGAAGCACCCTGACATGAGCACCCACTGGCCTAAGACTTCACCAACCTCAGATGCAATCAGACCACAGGCTGAAGAGCTGTACCACACAAGTGAGACTGGCTCCTGCTGGAGAGATCCGAGCAGCTCACCTCCAAAAGATCGCAGCTCACTGTGGTTCCAAAACCAGTGTTCCAGCACTTGGGCAACGAAGGAAGATGAAGCAAAGCCAACCCTTACCTTATAGAGCTTCAGACTGGCCTCGTGCCTCGAGTTCACTGTGTGAAGACGCAGCTTCTCCAGACTGTTGGTGTAGTAGTCGCAAGCATTGCATTTCAGATGTACCGGATTCCCAATGGCCACACACTTCAGCCTCCACTCATTGGCCTTGCCACCCTCCTTGATATGTGCCACCAGCTGGTATTTCTGCACATGCTTGTCTGTCTTACAGTGGAGCTGGAAGTTTGCCTTGAGCTGTGTGTTGTAGCGGCACAACTTGCACTGGTACGAGTCCCCCATCACTGCCTTCCACTCGTCTTCAGGGAGGCTACGCTCCACATTCATGTGGAGGCCCAGCATGTCCAAATTATCTGTAGTGAACTTGTTGCACACAGCACACTGGAAGAGCTTCAGCGATGGGTCATTTGTTTGTGTGAAACTCTCACCCAAGTTCATTAGCTCCTCAGAAACCAGCTGTCCACCACCTAACCGCATGTCCAGGGGGATCTCTCCACCCACTGCATGAAGGAAAGAGGGGAGAAAGAGGTCAGAAAAGCTGAATTCTCTCTACTTGTCAGAAGAGAAGCACAGAGCAGAACACATGCTGCTCTCAGTGCAACTCTTGCACCCATCAAATGCACAGCAAAGGCCAAGCGCAGCTTCCCCTGCGCTTACTCCACTGCATTACTGGTCACTACCATGTCTGAAGAAAAAAGCAATTGCATCTGGCACATAGGCTGGGAAAGGACCACAGTAGCCTTTGCTACCCACCTTCTGAAGAAGTATCCAACCAACCCTCTGCCCTTGAAAAGTGCCAAGAAAAGTCCCACAGAGTTTCGGAGGCTGAAGAATTCCTTAGCACTGCACTGAAAGTCTCGGTGGACGTTTCAAGAACAGCGTAAGACCTTATCCTTTTTTTTCTTGCCTACTTGAAGAAGCAAGAAATGTTACCTGATGCAGTACCTGATCACAGTCCCTGCCAAATAAAAAGAGGTTAACAAAAAAGTGCCACTCCTGCACTATTAGTTCTCACATCTTCTCCAAGAGTTCAAAATGGTGGACAGTCTTGTAAAAACAGTGTTGACAGACACTTTGTGCACCCAAGGAGAAGACAACCACTATTAATAACGAGAGTGCAAGAGCATGCCAAGGAAAGCCAGCAGGACACTTACTGTCTGTAAGTGTCACATCTACTCTTCAAACCAAGAGTTGAACTCCATTCACTTACAGTAAATGAATGCACAAGCTTTTCTTCACAGCAGAGCACTCTGAAGATGTAGACAGAGACACTTTCTTTTTCTAACATCAACTGTTTATCATAGAATCACAGAATGGTCTGGGTGGGAAGGAACCTTACAGATGATCTAGATCCAACCCCCTGCCATGGGCAGGGACATCCTCCATAGATCAGGCTGCTCCAAATCCCATCCAACCTGCCCTTCAACACTTCCAGGGACAGGGCAGCCACAACCTCCTTGGGTAACCCCAGCACTTCAGTAAGAAGGGAACAGGAGCTCCAAAAAGGGCCTTCCAGGAAACCCACCACAGACAACGCTGTAAATTCATACACTATCAGCTTTGATATAAATGAGTGCCCATTACAGTTGTTGGCAACTTGAAGCTATTGAAAATACACTAAAAAAGACTGTGATCTTGACCTCCCAAAGGTGCAAACTGGGATACCTCAGCAAAACAAAAGAAAAAAAAGGAAGAAAAAAAAAAAGATAAAAAGATAATTACTTTAAATTAGTCACTTGAACTCCTTTGTTTTCTTTTTCATTTTTTCAGTATCTTGTGGTGTTCTCTCATATGACTTAAATGTCCTTCTGGACTAATAATAAACTGTACTATTAATAGCTGAAGGAAAGGAGAACATGCATGAGACCAGTGAACCAGTGATGGAGAGCATCAGTAATAACAGCATTGATGGATGGACAAGGCTAGGGAGGGCAGAGGGCAGCATGGAGAAGTGACTTCAGAGGAAAGCAGGTGAAGTGGCAGATTTCTTTTCACGTACTTTCCCAAGGAACCATGAAAAATTCTCAGCAGCAGCAACGCAGCAGACAGCAGCAGCTCAACCTGTGTCTGCCAAGCCGGAGGAATGGGGGGGTCTGTTCTGTGCCAGCTCCTACCCGCAGCACTGGGAAGCTCCAACAGCCCGGGGAGCAGGAGCACCCTGTTGGCCCTGGGCGACAGCAAAGGGGGGAACCTTTACCACAGAATTTTGGAATCTGAGAATTCTATGATCCCCCCTCTAAGTCTCATTCTTGGACAAAATTGTGCAGGGATAAGATGCACCCCCCCCCAGTGCCAACATGAACATGATGAGTGCTCCTTGTCATGAAAAACCCATTTGGTTGTTCACTTTAAAGGGTTTTCATCATATGATGAAAGAAATAATCTTCTCTCTCTTTAGACATCCCCTCCAGTTTAGTTAATTCTCATCTGGTCAGGCCTTGAATCTTGTATCTCACGCTGGCACCAGAGGAACAGCTTCAGCTCAGCTTCTTCAGCAGAGGACCACCACCACTTCCACTGAATTCATCACAACTCTCAAAACTTGCTTACCTTTTCTTCTAAGGGCAACACAGCAGCAACAAATCAGCCCAACATCTGTCTTTGAGAGCACCAGCAGCTGATCAGACCCTCTCACAAAGCCACCTGTCAAACTACTCAGCCCTTACCAAATTGAGGAAAAAAACCATTATGAAGCACTGCAGTAAGAATGCTTTCCACAATAAGGAGGAACATCTAATGCATGCCAGCAATAAACCGGATCTTCTATTCATTAGCTCCCTACCAAAACTCTTAGATGATGTACCAGAAAAGTGATGTATCTTCCCAGGATAAGAAAAAAATTGGTCTGGGAGAATACAGGAGACAGGTCTCCACCATGCAGCCTTCATCATGACCACCACACAAAGGCAGCTCACTGCATGGGGGCTGCACCACAGAGACAGAAGAAAGGGATCCAGCACCGAGCACCCAGCGCCATGAGGGTTCTGCAGTGACCCAAACACAATCCCTCCCTTACACACGGACACAGTGGAAACCCCTTCAGCCTCACCTAGAGATGGAGCCATTGTTGCCATGGGATTGGTGGGATCAAGCTGAAACCCACCCATCATGAACTGTGTATCTGTGGAAGTGCTGTCCATCTTCAAGTTGGGGAGGTTCATGTTCTGTGCCAGGTAGTACTGGTAGAGCTCGGCCTCGGCGGGGGACGGCAGGCTGCCGAGACCCAGGTGCCGGTTGTGTTGGATTTGGGACATGTTTTGCTGAAGCAGCATCATATTGTGCATGTGCTTTTCACTGGTCATGTGAATACGAAGGTTCCTAGCTACGTTGGTCTCATAGTCGCACACCTCGCACCGCCACGTAGGTTTGGTTTTTGGTTTGGTGGGGGAAGGGGCCCCACAAGTGCTACCGATGTTGGCTGCCGCGGCTGCTGCAGCTGCCGCAGCCGCCGCCGCTGCCCCAGCGGTGTGACTGAAGACTTGCTCTCCCCCTCCGTTCTGCAGGTTTTGCATGTTGTTGAGATGCTTGTCAGACTGCATATGAATACTGAGGTTGCCTTTGGTAGTAGTGGAGTAGTTACAGACCTCACAGCGGAAGGGCTTGTAACCACAGGTGTAGCTCTCACCCCGTGCCAGCCGCGGGTGTGGCTGCCCACTTTTGCAGTAGACACAGGAGCCTCCTGGCTCGGGATGTTTCTCCTTCATGTGCGCCTCAAGCGTCTGCTGGTACTTGTAGTGCCAATTGCACTTGGGACACTTGAGTGTCTTACATGAGTTGCGAGAATGCATCATAGTCATGTGGCCACCCAGCGACCGCGAGGAGCCCAGGACCGTGTCGCACTTTGGACACTCCACACCACTCCCCGAGGGGCACTCCCCACCCCCAAGTTCACAGAGGGGGCCAGCATGCTGGTGATGGGAGATGTAGCTCCCGTCCTCGCCCTCCACACTCTCATTTGGTTCTGGTGCTGTGGCATTGTCTTTATTGGCACTTTCATCGATAAAGTCCAGCCTCCTGCTGCCCTCTGCCACACTGGCTCCGCCACCCTCATTGTTAAAGCTTAAGTGATTCCTCCTGTTTGCACCATCAAAGACAAAGGAAGAAGCAGAATTAGAAGTAGTAGAAGCTGTGCCCCGTGACAGGGTCTGGAGCACGTTAGGCATTAAGGGAGAGTTAGAAATGCTTTGGTTTGAGAGAGCAAGGTCCTTTTTGCTGCTGCTGCTGCTGCCGCCTGTCACAGCCCCAGAGTCCTCCTGGGGCCGGTCCTCCAGTTCATCCTCCAACTCGCTTGGAAACAGTCCTTTGCAACCCTCATCATCCTCGTCTTCTTCCTCTTCCTCTTCTTCCTCTTCTTCCTCCTCCTCCTCCACATCCTCCTCCTCTTCCTCCTCCACCTCCTCGACCGGCTCTGCCTTTTCTGAGAGGCTGTCCTGGTCACCTCCCTCTTGCTTCTCCCCCTCTGCCACCCCAGGGTCCTTCCCCTCTGAGGATTTGGTGGGACTGGAAGCCAGCGGGCCCAGGGGAACTGAGGTAATGGGAGTCTTCAGAGCTGAGCTGGTCAGCCCTCCCAGGTTGAGGAGCGCACTGGGGGCCAGGACACCCGGTGGTGGCGGCTCTGCTCCGCTGGCCGCCCCAGGGTGGAGGGCCTGTTCGCCTTCCATGCGAATGCCACTGAATTTACCATAAAAACTGTGTCCAGGGCCTATGAGGTTAGCTGTGGAAACAAGAGGGTGCTGAAAGGTTTTGTTTTTTGGTTCCAGAAAGCTGACAAGGGGTTCCTTGTCTTTGCCTATCCCTTGGATGATAGCGGAGATGTTCTTATTGCTAAGAATTTTCCGCTCCTCCTCACTCAGAGTCATTCGGTGGTCGTGCACCGCGTGGGTCACGAACGAGCGGACATACCCAAAGGAGAGCTTGCACAAGAAACACATCAGGATGGGCTTCCTCTTCCCATAGAGCACAAAGCCATCGAATTTGGACAGGTCCACATTGTTTGGAACATCTTTGGATACGCAGGAGCTTTTGGCAGAACCGTCGCTGTTCAGGTAATCCTTGTTGCTTTTGTGTCGCACATCGAAGACGCGGAAGCTGTGCAGGACGGGGCTGATACCCGCCAGGGCTGAGGTATTCGGGAAGGCCTGGTCTGTGCCTTCAAACCACTTCCCAAAGGATGAGGCTATGTGGAAGGTGTTGATGATCTGCGGGTAGACGGGAGCGGCAGCGGAAGGCTCTCCCTGCTTGGGCAGGGAGTTCGGGAGCAGTGAGGGGAGAGCCCCGCTCCTGCCGGCGGCCCCGCTCTGCACCAGCTGGCTGAGGCTCTCCACGATGTAGGCCGAGCCGTCCGGCTGGTAGACGATCTCGCCGGCCAGGTTCTCCACGTCACTCTCCTCCTCCCCATCCTCGCTGCTCTCGCTCCCGCTCTCCCCCCGCAGCGGCCTTGCCCGCGGGCTCGGCGCCGGCCACCGCGCTGCTCTCGGGGACGCGCTCAGGGAAAGGGACCCTCAGGCTGTCCAGGGGGCCGCGGCTCTCCGCTGCGGGCTGCTCCATGCTGCCGGCCGTGTCGGGGAGGTGGGCACTGTTGAGATCAGTCCATTGCTGGTGCTGAGGGATGCCGCACCCATTGTCCTTCCCGGGGATGACGGGCGAGTCACAGCCTTCCATGGCAGGGCCGGCACGGAGCGCTCATTGCACCCGGTACGGCTTGGACCTGCAGGAGGGAAAGAAGGGGAAAGGCAGGTGAGTCAGGGAGAAGAGACAGTTCCTGTAAAGACTCCCTGTACCAAAGGCCACCCACCCTGCTGCTCAGGACCTAACAGGAGGTTATGAGAGCTGGCACCCCAAGATGGGCTCCAGGATGAGGCGGCCTGGCCTCAGGTAACACACTGCTGGAAAGGAGCAATGGAAATATGATGGAAGCAGGAA